TTGAATTATGGAATAATGTTTAATTCTTCAGGTCTGCAAAGGGCATCAGCACAACACTTTAAAAATACATCAATGTAGTTAAAATTGAACAATACCCTAGGTTTAATTATCAACCTAAGGTACCTCTGCATTGAATCTGGATGATCTCCCTGTGCATGCCTGGGTTCTACTCCAGCTTCCTCCCACGGGCCAAAAACAGGACTGTTAGGTTATCAGGCCTTTCTAAATAGCTCTAAGGTGTGATTGTGCGTGGTTGTATGTCTCTGCCTACTATGGACTGGCAACCTGTCCAGGGTGTACCAGGCCTTTCACTCATAGACTGCTGGAGATAAGCACCAGCCCCACTGTTACCATGAGGGATAAGCTAAAGAAGATGTGTGGAATGCTAAATAAAAGGCTTTAACGTAGGCTGTGAAGGTAAATGTTAACATATAACTGTCTCTCCTGCCTGTGAAGGTTTGACAAATTACACAGAAGTGGAGTAATATAATGTTTTCCCTCATCAGAAAATGTATCCAAAAAGGCACCTGAAGCAAAAAGCAAAAAGTGCTTAATACGTTGCATATCTAGAAGCCGAGATTTCTGCAAATTACATTTTCAAGCCAGAATGTTTCCCTCAATGCATCATTGTTGCACAGGAAATGACTATAAAAGTTATATTTTTGGCCGTGTTTTCAACCATGTATAACATAGAACCAAGAGTTGCACAAATCTACTTTTTTATAAGCCAATCTCCCCCAAAAGTCTCTCCCTGTTTGGCCCCTTTCTGCAGATTCTCATGCAGCTGAGTATTGATTAAACAGAACAAGCCCCTAAAACTCCTTCTCTCTGCTGGAGGCGAGCTGCTTCAGGCTTCATTATCAGCTACCTGCAGAACTGTTGGCAATCAGCTTGAATTATGGCCAATACAAGAGCCAGATTTTGACAAGGATGATTAATGTTTGGTGGTAAAAACATGCAACATTTCTCGTGCCGCTGCAATTGAGGGACTCTTGCTGCTATAACATGGAATAGGAGCAGGAAGATGACTCCTGCGTGCTTGCACAAGTCACTGTGGGGTGCACGGTTCTTTGTTGATGCCTTCAGCGCTGTTGACTGACTGTAACCTGACTGTAACGTCCTTCCAAAATACCCCAATCATGTCTAAGGCAGAAAGTGATGAGTGCACAGTACTGTGGACAGCCGGGCCGCCTGGCTGCCCCCCGTGCATTCTCCAGCATCACGCTCTCCCTCCTCTTTCCTCTGTGAAACTGAGCCAGTGAGCAAGTGACCTTCAACCGCACCCAGTGGGGAGGAAAAAAGAAAGAAAGGAAAAGAGTTTTTGTAGCATGGAAAGGAGAGTGGGATAAAGATGAAACGTGTGATAGAATAAAAGGAAAGAAAGTTGAAGAGCACACACATGCTATAATAAAAAAAATTAAACACTAGAGTGAAGAAAATGGAAAATCTCTTCTCTTGGAAGCCATCGGAGCACGGAGCTGAATCTGACAAGAAAGATGACTCTCCATCCCTTTTCTCGCCAGTCTGATTAAACCTCTCACTCCACAATAAACCCACCACTCTACACGCCCCAGAAATGAGGAAAGCCGAGGACCTGAGCCTGGGCTAAAAATGTTAAAACCTTGAGGGTACTGTAACACCACGACATTCAAAATGTGCCTGACAAAGGAACTGAAATTGAATTCTTGAAGAAGTAATAAGCGTGCCGTTTCCAAAGATTCATTTTTCCCACCGAAATCTGCCTGTAAAAAGTCCAATCCCTCTGTTTGAATATGCACTAAGCCGCCTAACAGAAGTTAATCTACAACAGAGGAATAATTTCCTTGTGACGAAGGAAGCAAGCAGACAGAAGGACGACTAATTAAAGTTGTAACATCTGCCTTCTGAGCTCTAAATGTGTCTTCAGGCTAGAAACATCTATCGCTCCACTTCCTCCACATTTTCCTGTAAGCAAGAAAGGGTAAAATTAGCTTTATGCAAAGAAATAGAAAAAAAAAGAAAAGAAAAAAAAAACCCTCTTTGATGCGGGTGATTTCAAAAACATCCCGTTCATCGAGGAGGACAAACTAGATGTAGACTAAAGAGAGGAATGTGTCAGATGCGCCGTGAATGTGTGTTCTATTGCTCATCTGAATGGCAAGTCAATGAAAAGTCAGCCTCCGCTTGTGTAAATCAAAGTGTAACCATTGAGAGAAAATATAACCATGTACACAGATGTCAGTATTTAACCTGCCTTGTTATCTGGCGCTAAATAAAAGGCTTTTTTGCTTTTTAAAACACTCAGAAATCTCTGATCTGATTCAACACCAAAAGATAATTTAGTAGAAAAAATAATATCTGTAAAACTTTTAGCACTGGAATCACATTTGATTTAGACAAGACACATAACTACAGACCATAGATGGGTCTAAAGTCCTGGTTATATTGTTTTATTGATAGTAGCAATTTAAGAAGTTCTGTAAATATAGAGTCTGAACATATAAATGAAATGTATTATTAAATAATGATTTAATTTAAAAAGTTGATTCACATAATCTCTATTTATAAGCTTCACATAATGATTTTTTTTTATATTATTATGATTTAAACTAACAGCCAAACATGAGAAATTTACAAATACAAATAATTTTAGCATAGAAATGTTAGAAAGGCTACATGCACATATATGTACACAATACTTGGTCTGGGTTCCATTATTTACTGCTTCAATGTCGAAACCAGTTCGTAGCAAAAGGCTGCACCAACTTAAATGTGATAAAACAGATAAACCCTTAAATTACTGTGGAAACTTTACACTGATCCTGGATTCTGTGGCCCTCCCCCCTCCAGACTCTGGGAATTTGATTGTCGCATAAAGTGCAAATGCTGTTTAATCTAATGGAACAACATGGACCACTGAGTAACGGTTCAGTAATTTATTTCCTCTGCCAGGGCAGGACTTCTGAAATTAGCTCTGCCACAGAGAGGGCTTAACACAACCAACTGGACAGTAGTCGTCCACCACCTACACCTCGAGAAATGAAATACTGTTACTGCTTGCTTTATGTAGGTGTTTTATAGTCAGATCACTAACAATAATTACGTTTTTATAAGACATGTTGAAATAGAATAGAAAATATATGTATTGCCCCACAATGGGGAAAACAACTAAAGATAAGGGACTGATTTATATTATTTAGATTTAAATATAATCCTGCCAGTTAATATTGAATAGGTGTATAAGATTAATAATATTGTCAACAGTTGCTTCCCATATTTTGACATCGCTTGTTTTATGTTACATTTTTATGGTAAAATTAAAACTAAAAATGCATTATTACACTGAAGATAGATAGGTTTTGTTGTATTTAAACCAGTGGCAGCTCCAGAGATTTTTATTGCAGGTGCTAAACGAAGGCTAAGCACTGAACTGAGTGTGCAATGAAGCATCCTTTGTTCCTACATGTTTTAATGCAGGCAGATCCCCCCCAAAAAACTGAGGTGCACCTACTACTTTTAAATCTGCAAAATTTATCATTCTGGAGAAACCAACAACATCTACACAAAGGCATGAAACAGCATAGGAGAGCAAGCACCTCTGGGCAAAATTTAGTTGTACATTTGCACCTCAAGAACAAAGGACACACTTTTGAAGATCAAGGTGTTCAGATTTTGGACAGAGAGAACAGATGGTTTGAAAGAGGCTTCAAGGAAGCTATCTTTGCAAAAAAAAAAAAAGACATCACTGAACGGAGTGGGAGGATTGTGATTTCAGCTTCCAAGCATTTAAAAGCCCATTTCTCCTTGTGCACGCTCCGTTTAAAAGTTGCTGTTCTCACAGCTCATAAAACTTTACTGTGCCCTATAGTCCGCCATAACCCCTAAATCCCTCAATCAGTATATAGAGCGAGGAATATATAGTGGATTTTATGGCAAACTCAGTTAACTGACCATTCAGACAGATTATCACTACTTTTTGCTCCCTGTTGGTCCCTGCACCATCTTTGTTATTATTCGCCACTGTTGGGTAGCGACAGCCTATGGTGACAGTGGGCTGCTGAGACAGCAAATCCCAAAATGCTTTGCGAGTAGCTCTCCACGCAAATCATTCTGGGATAAAGCTGCTTCTTCTGAGGCCTTTCTTTGCATCTCTTTATACACTTCTTAGACACCTTTTCTCTTACGACCGTCAGCCATTTTCAAAGAACCACAGTGAGAAAGGTGAGCTTCAAAAAACCGTAGCTCACCCCACATAAACGCCTTAAAATTGCTGTATGTATTGATCTTTGCATGTCTTTATCATGTTAAAAGTAAATGTAGATGTCTCTTTGCATTTAAATATTTAGGTTTAGTGGAACCAGTTCACCAGCTGATTAAGTTAATTCAACATGCTATTTTTCAGTTTAGATATTTCTGTGCAGTGGCTTTTGAAGCATCAGATCTAATTTCTCCATTTCTGGTAGGTTGCACTTTTTCCTTCCAACCAACTTTTTCTTTAAAATATAAAAGTAAAAGTCAAGACATTCATTCTCATTTTGCCACAATATCAATATGTATGATCAACAAAAAGAAAGTTTGGTTGTTTACATCTTAACAAAAAAATCGTTGGTGGTCCAGGTAAACTTACAAATGTTCATTTGCTGGTGAATTTATTTGTAGTCCATCTAAAAAAAAATTAATCTGTTGTGAAGCTTATATTTCAAATTACAATTCTTTAAATCAAAACAAATAAATAAAAATAAAAAAATGCTTCTTGCTTAGTTTTGTCACTCGAGCGCTTCTGGCTAGATGCTGGGATTGCTCGTCCGTGGCTCCATCCAAGCAACATCCGCCACTGCCTGCAAATGGCATCATTATTAGAAATATTACCATAACTGTAAGAGACTGCTCTGAAATATTCATCCGTTCCTGCTGAACTTTCCACGGCTGATGGTTGAGGAGGAACTGAAGGAGGGTGGGAGGTCTGAGCTTGGAGCACGTAGCCTGCTTACAAATTAGCACGAGCAAACTCAGCGTGAGGGAGTTTTTTTTTTCTCCTTGCATAGAGCTGCCTCTCCTTTTTCTCACTCTGGAGACACCTTCTCATCTGAAAAGCGGCTGCTGTTGCTCCACTTCTGAGCGACTTCATGTCCGCTCCGCACAGCCGGAGCAGCAGGAGCAGCTCCCCCCCTACTTCTCCTGCACGGTTCTCCTCCCCCGCTGCTATGTCAAAAGATTAACAGACCCCCACACTGCGGGGAGGCGACAGACTCGCACATTCGGATTTTCTGCACAGGAAAAAAACAGGGGAAAAAAGGAGCAGAGAACTGAGTGGAAACGGGAAGGAGGCATCTGCGCTATAGCAACGAGATGAGGTGGAAATGTTCAACTATGAGGGTCAACACCTTCTTAGTGCTTCTCCATGAAGCTTCCCCCGAAGCCTGAGAGCGACCAAAACCCCGGACAGTGACACTTTTATCGGTTCATCATCGACGTTAAAGGAGTAGGAGGGGGGGGGGGGACTTTATTGGCCATCCGGCCGCGCTTCTAAATCAAGTCAGGACGATTGAGTGCAACACGAATGGTTTGGGTAACTACAGCTTCACTTTTTAATTATTATTTATATAATTGTTTATTGGCACTGTTTAAATCTATAATACCCACAGTTTTGATCTGTGGTTATGAAACAGGTGTTGTAGAGGTGTCGTTTTTATTGCATGTTGTAAAAGTCAAGGATGCGAGACGGTTTGCAAGAAAGACCGCATGCAGGGCAGCTAATGAGGGAAAATATAACAAAGGTGATAACCGTGCAGATAGCAAACAGCAACTCTGGATGTCATCTGACTAAATGCACATCACTACAACATCTGCTGATGTGGATTTGAATCTGCAGGGAGGATTTAGTTAGTAACGTCAGGGACTCTATTAAATTATTAGATGGGATATAATAGCTCTCACGTTGTCTTGATGCCCTTGATGCTCCTCCGCCACCTGTGGTTGTGAATTGTGTAGTTTGGGGACTCCTTGTGAGGGGTGTTTATGGAGATAAACTGCAGGTGCAGACAAATGAATCTTGGCTCTAACATGGCTTTCTGTCCACTCGGGGAATCACCCGATATTAATAGAAAATGAATGGAAGTGGCAAAGCCAGAGCCGCGCTCTATCTCTGTCAAAGAATTTAGGAGCTTTTTGGATGATTACTTGGACAATGCAACACAGAGAGAGAGAGATAGGAGGGTGAGGAACCTGCTTTTTAGTGCTACCTGCACACAGTAACTCATGCTTACTGTGAAATAGCCTGCATCACCTTGTCAACAGCCGTGTCACTTCCGAGACGGCAAGAATGATGAATTTGGTCATTACTGATGAGCCCGACTGGACAGGAGGGTTGTCATCTCTGCCTCTCTCAGAGCAGAATACATTACAGAGCGCGGACACGGCGAGTGGAAACACAAACACTGGGCTGGTAGGGAGATTTCCAGGATGAGGATTCAAGGCGCAGGTGAAATAACTTAGAAGGCACGACCTCTGAGGAAGGAGTCAGCTGCTACAATCGCTGTGAACTTCTCTTCACCCACACCTCCCTCGTTTATTCCCTGCAGGCTTAGCTTCCACCCAGAGAAACAACAGAAACATTAAAAATTCCAATATCTGCTCCATTAGCGGCTGTGAGGAAATTCATTCAGGTTTTAGGGGATGGTAATCAGCTGGCTGAGAGACAAAAGGTGTCACGGCCAATTAGATGTTTCCGATCCTGGCTATGCCTGTCCACCCCCACAGTGCCTTAGAGCAAGATCAATCAGATCGCCATCCCTCATTGTAAAAGCTGAACCTCAGATGTTTTTATTCTCTGTTACTACCAAACAAGCACAGCCTGGGTATACGCGTTAAAATTAAAAAAAGTTCAAAACCTCTGAAATCATCTGAAAACACCAAGCCACTGGTCAAAATGTCATTTTTAGCAACATCATGGGCTGGCGTTGGAGTGACTTAAGTTTTCTCAGGATGTAAGGTTCCTACTCCACAAAAAGACCCCTGTAATTTACCTTCAGACCAGCATAGATGGCTTTAACAAATTGGAAATATTCCAGGTAAGGACAAAGTGCCTACTGGAGAGTCACCTCGCTAATGAATATTACATTTTTAGACCAAAAGCTATGAGCAGCATGTCAGTCAAAAAGCACTCAGTCTTTAGCTTTAGTTAAACTTTAGTGCAGCTTGGTTCGCCACAAGGTTCAACCTTAAAAAAAGTTTTGTTTTTTTTGTCAATTTTAATAACACTCATTCAAATTAAGTCCTATCACAAAAATAAATCATTTTAACAAAATAGAAGCAAAGGACAAACGTAGAGAAAGTTCCTTTATCACATATATAACTAAATCATTTCACCTAGGAGACTTAGTTTGGAAGTTTTATTTTTAGTTCAACCGTTTACAACAAATTTTCCTTTTTTAATCTATCTTGTTTTGTGAGCACATTTTATTCTCCTGTTAAACAAATAAATACTTGTATTTAAAGGTACAGTGGAGCATGTTCTTTTTCCGGGTGGATCATCAAAATAAGTGGTCCTCCTAATTGTCAATCAATCTGGTGATATGTTTACATAAAGCCGTCCTATGTGCTCGGCCCATTTTGACTTGCTGGTGGTGAGGCTGACATGGTGGAAAAATTGCAAATCTTTTGGAATGTAAGCTTTTATGAGCGATGCATGAGGGCGTACATGAGGAGAAATAGGCTCCTACACGCTCTTGCACACGTTAAATAGGCGTTTAATAGGTGGAGAGGGCGGGTCTTTTAAAAAATTCACAAAAGAAACAAAATTAAGCGATGTGCTTCATTGAATTTTTGATGATAAATACAGAAACAGCAATTATAAACATAAGAACAACAATGACAAGCATAATATTCATAGCCATCTTATTATTAGTAGTATTTGATATATTATTAATAATAGTAATAAAACAATATTCAGTGCAAGTAGGCTACATATTATTTGACAGGAGGCGCTAGGGGGGTTAGATAATGGGTAGGATGGAGCTGGGCCAAAAAAAGATTGAGAACCGTTGGTCTAAAAGGAAAAAAAAAATCAGATGAAGAGAGGAGGGACCTGAAGCATAAGTGTCCAAAAAAAAAGAAACAAAATGAAAATGTTAGAAAATCTTACTCCAAGTGGCGAGCTCTGCAGACCTCATGCCAGATTACGATTCTAAACAAGCTGTAGTTCTGTTAGACGGATATTTTTCCAATTTTTTTATTCATAGTTACATTCTGCTTCTGTAAGTTTTTATCTGTGAATGATAAGATATGATTGAATGATTCGAGAAATGGTGCTACGGAGGATTGTGGACGAGCTCAAGCTCAAAATGAGGGATTCTCATGGGGAAAAACATTTTGGGGCAGGGCTTAAAGTTCATCCTGTGCAGCATCAGGAACATTTTCTTTTAAGCACAAAGCGAGCAGTGAGAAGATACACATTAAGACCTAACGTTTAGATTCGGTTCTCCTTTCTTTCTAACAGCAAAGTCGGTAACAGCTGGAGATCCTCCCCATATTGGGTGGGGTGTCACATTTAACAGGGGCAAGTGGCAGGTGTTCTGTATCTGTTTGGTAAACTTATCGAACTGACTGGGCTGTAACGGATATTCTGGCATGACTATTTTTACCATAATACCCACATTTTGTTTTTAATCTTCCATCTATTTTAACTTAGAACAACAAAAAAAAGCCCAAATCAACAGGTTAGACCGCTATTTTTTTTTTTATTAAACTACCCAGAAAGCCTCTATGCAATATAAATGACTATTTTCACGTCTTAAAAACAGCATATTTCTAGATTTCGTCCTTTCACTACACAGTGATGAAAAAAGGTTTTCCGTTATTCAATTATCAAAAGAAAACTAAAAAGGGTTTTTAGGCCATCTCTATCAATACACATAGGATATTATAATTATTAATGCATTTTGCCATATGATTTTAACAGCTTTAGCAGTAATGAATTATTTTCTCCTTGGAATTACAATATTTACATCATGTTATGCACTTTTGTTTGATAATCATCGCATTAATGATGTGATAACCTGAAACCATGTTAATGGTTGCCAAAACATGAGATGCTCATATCATGCAGGCTCCCAAATATGAATTTGAATTAATTTAGGCCAGGCTTGCTTGAGTGGATGAAAGTCACTTTCACTTCTTCATCACCTCCTTTTCCCCTGAGCTTATTTATGAACTATCACCATCATGCAGTAACACTTTATTAGCCATGCAGACAGCCCAGAAGGCCTTTTAATCTCTCACTTACAGCTTTCCTAATCCACACATGCACCAATGTCTACAACCCGTGGTTTCTCTTCCCAGTAGGGAGACCCTCTGTCGTCTCTAATGACTCAGACAGGATAGAGGAGGAGACGGAGCCTCCTGAAATAGGGAGGCGATGTGTCCGTAATCAGTGTGATATCAATACAGGTTTTTCACTGGCACACTTTTCTCAGAGGTCGGAGTCACGGTGACAATCTCTAGCTCGATCAACTATTAAGGCGCGTCCGAAACTGGTAACGATTTTATATTACAATGTGATCGATCTTCTGAGGAGTTGACACCGAACAGGGAAAACAGACAGTGCTGCTGCGTTTTTCACACAAAAAACACAACAGAGGGAGATGGAGACCGCAGTTCGATTCTTCTCTAAAGTCAATGATCATTTCTCACTCCTGAGGATCGATGCCGTTTTTTATGCCGTCCGTGGTTGATGCACATTATGAGCTGTGGCAAAATTATACGATGAACCCTCCTAGCTCAGCCGCAATGGCATTGTCTCTGTGAAGCCGCCACAGCAGTGTACACAAAGCCACGAGACAGCGCGTCTCCAAACAAATAGCAAGTTATCAATATTCATTTGAAGCTAGATGGGGATTTGGGATGATTAAAGGCTGCAGCGAGGTATGAGAATAAACACAGTAGACTATAGAGGCAAAGAAAGAGCTTTGACAGGGCACCTAGCTCCCCCTGAATGCGATTAATTAATAATGAATGAGCGAAGCATTGGAAAAGTAACAGAAGGAACAAACGCAAACTTATGGAAAAAAAAAGTCTGAATCAAAAAGAAGCAATCTTGGCTTCTTTATGGGAAATGAGGGATATTTAATTCAAAGAACTGTGGAGGAAAGATGGAAAATAAACAGTTTAATAGGCTTCCCAGCTTGAATCGCCAGGGTGTGTAGCTCTGGCCGAAGATGAAGGAGGCTTTCTGCTTCCTCTGCAGCTATTGTCTTTAACCATAGCAACAGGCATCAAAGTACTTTACAGTTGGTTGGGAAATAATGTAGGAAAAATAAGCGTGGTGTATTCCTGCACATTTGTTACTTTTTACTGGAGCACAGATGGCTCGGTGCAGAAAAAGATGTTAATATATGTCTCTGTTCCAGGCATGGTGCCCACGCCCCAGGTGTGCGTATCAACCCTGGTCACGGTGAGCACGATGGCGGTGGTGGACCTCTATCTGCTGGAGCAGAGCATGCTGGGATCCCGGGGTGCGTCTGGACCCAGCGTGTGGCAGTATGCGGCGGTGCTGCTAGGTGACGTCTGCTTCCTGCTTGCCCTGCGCTTTGTATCAGCAGGCGTGGTTTCTGAGGCACAGTCGTCACGCCGCGGTTTTGCCAACGCCCTCTGGTTCCTGTTCCTGTCTATGCTGCAGTTGAAGCTCTTCTTCGTCTGCCACAACTACAGGCAGGAGCGGCGGCCGCCCGACCCGCTGGCCAGGAAGACCCTGACGTTGCTGCTGTCCATCTGCCTGCCCTCACTGTTTCTTATACTGACTGGAGCTGATCACATGACTCCACAGCGCCGGAAGCAGGAGGTGCGGAGCCGGCTGCTGTGGGTTGTTGTGGACCTCCTGGATGTGCTGGACCTGCAGGCGGGGCTGTGGGAAGCCCAGGCTGGGTCTGGAGGAGTTGTTGAGCAGAGGTTACCAATCTGGGCAGAGGGCCTGGTGTTCTTCTACTGCTATGCGCTCTTGCTGCTGCTTCCCTGTGTGGCCCTAACAGAGCTGGGGGCCACCAGCTTGCCAGGACAGAGGGGGCCCCGTAGGGAGGCTCTGTACCCCTGGCTCAGCTTGATCACCATTAACATCTTCACCCTGGCTCTTAGGGGAACAGGCATGCTGTGGTACAGAGACTCCCGAGTTTCGACTGTGTTTCTGGGGAAAAACGTGCTGGCTTTGGCTGTAAAGCTGAGCTCAGCCTGGGAGAGACACAAACAGGAGCGCAGTGCCACAGGAGCTGGGACCATAGCTGGAGCAGAACCAGAAGCCTCCACCATGCCAAGGCAGAACTTGGAGCAGGACGAGGGACAGAGCCAGGGGAAAGCTCCTCCTGCTCATTTTCACACACTAACTCGCTCCCAAAGCCACACTCTCTCCCAGGTCAGCCTGGAACCCACAGCAACACCCTTGGGACCCCCTTTTATTTCCCATGAACTGTAGAGAATCACTTCTAAAATGCATGCATGCAAATACCGTATGTGTGCTCACACAAATTTCAGAAACTCAAGTAGACTGAAGTGGTATCACCTCCCAGCAGCGGGCAGAACGTGGAGCTGTGGAAATGCGTTTGGCATGCTCGTCTGTTCGTGCATTATATCTGGCTGGGAGCAACTTGAAATGCATTGTTGTGATTTGTGGGAGTGCGTTTTCAGAGTCAACACTGTGAGCAGCACTGCCACACTGTAAAGTGTATCGTAGAGATGTTGAAGCCTAGTGAGTATTCTCTGTTGTATAATGGAGGCTTAACTGCCTAACCTCTCTCGGTTTGCTGTTGTTTAAAATCCTCTCTCCTCTGACAAATATATTTTTAGACTTATCTCTACTTCTTGTTAAATATCCATTAATATCCAAGTTCAATTGTATGGTTCTTTGGACGAACTGGATAATTAGATACCAAAATCTGCGCTGTGACCTTTCAGTACACATTTTCTGTCATTACACGTTAGAAAGGTTTAACACAGGGAGGTGAGGTCTCATTTTTCTTTTCCTTCTGTACCAAAGAGCCAACAATTAACATCTGTATGAGGAGAAGCTCTGCTGTACTCGTCCACACTGTGCTTGAATGGTTGTTTTTTTTTTCAGTAAATTTTATACTGGAGATTTTAGTCCAGGTAATGTTTCCCTTTTGAGATTATTTACAGCTCATAAAAAAGATTTATAATTTTTGGGTAAGGAGAAAATTGAAAGATTATTTGAAAAAAAAAAAAAGTCAAACTACTGGGAAAGTAAGTTAAGGGTTTTGTGGAGGATGTTCTTTTTCTAGGTGAATCATTAAAATAAGTAGCCCTCCTAACTGTCAATCATTCTGGTGATATATTTACGTAAGGCTGTCCTACGTACTCATCCCCATTTTCACTTACCGGTGGCGAGTCTGACAAAGTGGAAAAATTGCAAATCTTCTTTGAAAGTAAGCTTGTGTGAGCGATGCAAACAGAAACTTTTATACAGAGTGTGCACAAGGAGAAATGGGCTCAATAGGCTTTTTTTTTTTTAAGTGGAGAGGAGGTCTTTCCAAAAAAATCGCAAAAATCCTCCACAATACCTTTAAGAAAGGGTTAATAGACGTATTTCTAAAGGACGTTTGAAATTCATACCAGACACCTGAACCAACTCAAGTTTCGACATGAATCGGAACTTTTAATTCCAATGATTCAATTGTTTACAATAGACAAAGGTAACAAAAGCATAAAAAAATCTCTTATCTTTAAATCAAATTCTGCCTCCCTTCTACCCACTCTGTGCTAACTAATATCCGCTACTTCAACCCTTATTGATGGTGTATGCTAAGGTTACTCATTGCTGAGGTATCTCACCCCAAAGAGCTCTCCCAAGACCTTCACAAGATATCGTTGCAAAAACACTGACGTATCTCTAACCTTCTGACGGTCCCCTGGAGGGCCAAAATCTAAAAAAGCAGAATTCCATAAAGAGCCCTGAAAAAGTCTAAAGAATAATCAGGAGATGTTTTCTATGGCAGAGGACAACAGACACTCAGAAAGATGAGGGATTTAACATGTTCCATTTTACTCAACTACCACGGCCTTTATAAACTCACCAAGACTCCACTGCTGAATAAAAAGCTCCTTACAGCATTGAACAAACCTTGCATTGAGGAGGAATAACACTGCCTGTTGTCCAAAAAACTAAATACTGACACAAAGGTTTGGAGGTGGGAACTTCATAATGTGTAGCTATTTTTCACCTTCTGACACCGGATGACCTAATAATACTCAAGGAAGAGTGAGATGTACAGCTGCACTATAAGAACCAGACAATGAAGCAAGGATTTCCCGAATTATCAAATTCATAAAGCCATTAAAGGAATAGTACACCCAAAACATGATTAGCCTTCATTTTCTACTCACCCCCATGCTGAACAAAACTCTGGAGTACTTTTTTGATATCTCAAATGCATCTGGAGATCTGGGAGGCTTCTTGCTGTCTGCTGACATTCAAATAATGGAGGTCTATGGCGCCCGAGGCAGAAAGGTCCATAAAAGTCCACAAAAAACGTGTCAATATTCCTCCATACTGCTCGTCCAATGTATTCCAAGTGTCCTGAGTGGGTAGCATCCAGAATTTACTCGAAACGAAGTCATTTAGAACGTTTTAGGGCCTAAACAGTAGTGTATAGGATTTCCTAATAGCGCCCCCATGCGCGCTCTCGATTCTACGGAAGCCAGCAGACCAAACCGGAAGAAAGTGCGCATTCAGCGTCTGCTCTGCCGATAATGCAAGCGTAGAAGAAGAAATGTGCTGTTTACCTGTGCAAAGAAAGAAACAACGAAAGAAAAATGTCTGAGGACTTCAGTGTTGAGGAAGAGCATGAGTTCTTTGCCGAGCTGAATGCGCTGGTTTGGTCTGCCGGCTTCCGTAGAATCGTGAGCGCGCATGGGGGCGCTATTAGGAAATCCTAAACACTACTGTTTAGGCTCTAAAACGTTCTAAATGACTTTGTTTCGAGTAAATTCTGGATGCTACCCACTCAGGACACTTGGATTACATTGGACGAGCAGTATGGAGGAATATTGACACGTTTTTGTGGACTTTTATGGACCTTTCTGTCTCGGGCGCCATAGACCTCCATTATTTGAATGTCAGCAGACAGCAAGAAGCCTCCCAGATCTCCAGATGCATTTGAGATATCAAAAAAGTACTCCAGAGTTTTGTTCAGCATGGGGGTGAATAGAAAATGAAGGCTAATCATGTTTTGGGTGTACTATTCCTTTAAAGAACTAGAGATCACAGTTCCCAGTAAAGGCTCCCATATATTTAAACAGCTAAAAACAACTGCTTTGGCTATGTAAGCAAAGAATAGGACCAACTTTTCCACATAAGATATTTAAAAAAAAAAACAAAAAAAAAAACAATACTGCTAAGTATTAAATACATTTCAGTGAGGTTTCTCAATCCGTCCTGCAAATGTTATTCCTCTTTACTGCACATCACCTGATTTATGGACTAATTTGAGTTGATTTCTTTGCAGGTATTGATTTTTTGGGGGCTGGTTACTGACATACTGGTGTGAATTTCATGTCAATAGGCCCATTAGGAATATTCCTGCTCACATACTTATCTTCCCCACTAACTGCTGCTCTTGCTCTCCACTATTTCATAAGATATATTTAGCTGAGGTAGCTTTCTGGTTTCTGGTCAGGATGCTTCCCTTGAGGATTTTCTGACTATAGAAGTAGACCCCAAAACCATTGATCCCTTCTGGCCTGGAAGGGTTTAGAAGCCCTCAAGGGCTTGTTATCTCCCCCTCCAGACACATATGAGAAAAAGAAGGGGGCAATGGCGGCAAGTAGAGTTCGGTCATAGGGTATAACTAAGCTGCAAAGGAGAATCTCTCCTGAAATTAAACCTATAATTTATGAATTCATGTAGTAATGTGGCAAAAAGGTGCTTATTTAACCCATTAATAAAGTATTAATTAATTTTTTTTTACAGTGGCAGAATTTATGAAGCCTTTTGATTACATTTACAGATTTAGAAAAACAAACCAAAAAAAAAAAATGCATCAGATATTTGAGCTTTTGGTCTTTTTTTTTACCCATTAGAATGGAGCCATTCTTTGGGACTAGGAAGACTGATCCCAATGTCACCAATTTATTTGGGCCACGTCAACAAACATGCAAACACTTCTGACTGGTGACCTATATCCTGCGGTATGAAAGGAAAGGTTGAGCCATTAAAACGCACAAATTGTCAGTGACTGGCTTAAACAGAGGAATAAAGAAGAGATCAATAAATGCCACAACTTCCATTTTCGTCTTGTTCATATCAAGGGCTTAGATGGTGGAGGACATTTGTTGACATGGCCAGAATTAAAAAGGTGAAATGAAACACATTCAACCTTTTCCTGAAGATGTGTGTGGCTAGCTTTCTACTGGGATGTGGAGATCTAGTGACATTCAGCATTGAAATCACTTCATTTCAAAAGAATTGTGTATAAACACTTTACACAAAATGTCAAAGAAAACAGAGAGTTAGTTATCTCTAGCTTTTAGCTGAATGGCTGTTTCTCTGTGATCAGCATAGGTTGATAGACCACTGATAACACACCTCCTCCCTCCCTTTTGTCATCAGGATGATATGTACATTGAATCTACTAATAATAATGACACTGAATTTATTCCTCCATTTTAAAGGGAACCAAGATCAAATTTACCACTATCCTTCTTTCTTTAATAACTTTGGAGCAGTAGAATCAGGCCTTTTATAATAAAGTAAATCCACTGTAGCATCTTTGCAGTGACTTGCATAAAACCTGGTTGCCCTGAAACGACTTCAGCTAAATAAGGAGTTCACGATCACATTCAGAAATGTGTAGAACCTTAAACTATCCCTTTACATTTTGTTTCCAGAAAAATCTTTCATCGTGGTGAATATTTTTCTAGATCTTTCAGCTTTTCTTTAGACTCTGACTGCTGGAAAAAGTGTCACAGCCCTAGTATTTGGTCTAAAATAGATAGATGTAATTTGGATTTTTGGAGGAGTATTTCCCCTATTAATTTCACAGAATCAGCTGAGGAATCCTGCTGATTCCTCTTTTTAAAATTACATACTTTTTCAGACCTATGCACGGATGGATGGATGGATGGATGGATGGATGGATGGATGGATGGATGGATGGATGGATGGATGGATGGATGGATGGATGGATGGATGGATGGATGGATGGATGGATGGATGGATGGATGGATGGATGGATGGATGGATGGATGGATGGATGGATGGATGGATGGATGGATGGATGGATGGATGGATGGATGGATGGATGGATGGATGGTAGGTACATGGAGAGATGGATTGATGGATGGATGGATGGATAGATGGATGCACGGATGGATGGATGCATGGATCTATGGATGCACAGATGGATGGATGGATGGATGGAGGGATGGAGGGATGGATGCACTGATGGATGGAGTAAAGCATGGAGGGATGGATGCACAGATTGGTGGATGATACATGGATGGATGGATGGATGCACGGATGGATGGATGGATGGATGGATGGATGGATGCACGGATGGATGCACGGATGGATGCACGGATGGGTGGATGATACATGTATGTTTGGATGGATGGATGAACGGATGGATGCATGATGGATCGATGCATGACTGATGGATGGATGCATGGATTGGTGGATGCATGGAGGTTTTGGATGGATGAATGGACGGATGAAACTTGGACAACAAGATTTAAGATTCAGTTTAAATTCCAAGAGTCTGTTTTTCCCCCCATACTCTTTTCAGACCTGGAAGAAAAACCCAGACTTCTTCCGAGGTTAGAGGAAACTGTATTCCCTAAAGCTGTCTGTCACAAAGACATATTTATCAGCAGATGAGCTGGAAGATGGTGAATCTGATCCTGGCTATATCTTATTTCTAAAAGACATGGCATTCAGAAACCATTTGCTTCAGGTTAATATAGGCCTGAGATGAATCTTTTAAGTCTAAATTTGGCCGTTTTCCACATTTCAAAATAATATCCTACTAGAAATGGACAGAAAAGGGTTTAGAAAACAGTCTAAAGTCCAAACACATTTTTTTCTTTAGGCTTTGGAAAAGGTTATAGAACTATAAACCCTCACAAAATTTAGCTCTTTTCCCTGTGCAAAAATCTACGATGTCAACAATGAAAGATACGGTCTGCATACCTGCTCTTTCAATCTGTATGCACATCAAACACTTCTTGAGCCTACTGTAACACGAACCACACAAATCGCAGGTATGTTT